CCCAAAAACAGGAGGGGAGTCAGCTCTTGGGAAGGGGAGATGAGAGCAGGACGAGGGGAAATGGTTTTAAGTTGAGGGAGGGGAGATTTAGGTTGGACATCAGGGGGAAGTTGTTTGCTGTGAGAGCGGTGAGGTGCTGGAACAGCTGCCCAGAGAGGCTGTGGATGGGCATCCATCCCTGGAGGTGTTCAGGGCCAGGTTGGATGGGGCCCTGGGCAGCCTGGGCTGGTATTAAATGTGGAGGTTGGTGGCCCTGTGTGCAGAAGGGGGCTGGAGCTTCGTCATCCTTGAGGTCCCCTCCAACCCAAACCATGCTGTGGTTCTGTGAATGTTCCCCCCAAAGAAAAGAACCCCTCGTTAACGGATCAGCAACATCCTAAACCCAAATCTCGTCTCATCCCATCCAGGGGCGGCCGCCGGCGGAGCAGGAGTCCAGACAGGAGGCGCCGGTGATGGAGCCCACGCGTCACCAGTTCAAACTGGGGGGAACTGGGGGAGGATGGGAGCATTGGGCATTTGGGGAGCAGCTGTCGGAGCGGAACGGTTCAGTGCTCCCATGGGGTGGGGGAACGGGATGGGGGGTGGGGGGTTGGGGCTGAGTTCTGCTTCTCTTGGAGCTGAGCTCGGCCGCTTCAGCAAAGTGTTTCGCCCCATTTCTCAGTCGTTTCACTTGGTGCAGCCGGGGGGGTGATGTGGTTCGGCTGCACTCCTGGGGGGGAGCGCTGAGCTCTGTGCTCACAGACGTTGTGTCTGCCCGCCCAGCACCGCGGGACGGACCTTTCTTCACTCACAGCCTTTCCAGTGATTTTTATTTTCAGTCCCCTCGTTCTCTTGTTGTTTGGTCTTCATTAAAACCGAGCTGAGCTCCGCCTCCTATCCTCACTCCTCCCCGTGCGCTGTCACGGAGCCTTTTGGGGCTCTGCCCCGCCGGCTTCCCCCCCTCCATCACCCCCAGCTCGTGCTTTGTGCTGCTGCTGGGGGTCCTGCGGGCGATGGAGGCGCGGACGGAGCCGGACGTCGCGTCCCGGTGCCGCCGGCGGCCGCAAAAATGCACCGTGAAGAAGCCGTAGACCAGCGGATCCAGGCACGTGTTGAAGAGGCCGAAGAGGAAGAGGATGTGGCTGAGCGCCGGCGGCACCCTCCCACGGCTCAGCATCTCGGGGGAGAACCAGTACCAGAGGCCCAGCAGGTAGTAGGGCGTCCAGCAGCCCACGAAGGTCAGCACCACCACCACCGACATCTTCAGCGTCCGCATGCGCGCCCGCGGGATGCGATCGTGGGAGCGGCGCAGCTGCACGTCCTGCGAGGGCGCTGCGGGGGGAAGCGGGGGGGAAATGGGGG